ATCCTCCTCCTCGCCCATGACTCCAACTGGTTCCAGAGCCTACATTGTGGTATTAATACTGTAAAATAAAACACTGTTAACTTTTCCAACATATTTCAGTCAGGTCATCTGGACAGTTTCTTTTTTTTGTGCTGAAACGTTTCACCTTCGATCCAGAAGGCTTCATCAGTCAAGGAAACACACAACAAAACTGATTCTTCCTCCAACAGCTTACTCCAAAGAGGAACAAACCAGTTCTGCTTGTGATAAGATGGTCTCTTTGGTACACCCTCTCCTCCATTGCCGGCCCACTTCCTTGATGACAGTCTTGTCAAACTGGTTGAAAACAACAAAGTCCATGCTCAATAATCCAGGTATAAAATCCAATGACCTGACTGAAAAATGTTGGATTTTATACCTGGATTATTGAGCATGGACTTCACTGTTAACTTTTCTATGTCTGGAGTCTGATTCACTTCAGTTCATACTCTATGGGTTTGTTACACAGTCCATTTTGGCCCTGGCTCCCCTCAGACTAGCCTTTAGCTCATCAGTCTGGTCAGAGTTAAACTCATTTTACAGTTTGAGGTCATTCAAAGAGCTATCTGCAACAGGTAAGATAATGTTTGTTCAAAATCTTTTCACAGAACCCCTTTTAAAAGGCCCAAACTGTTTCTGTCAGCCAAAAAACATTTCTTTAAGTAAAAGAGAAGACAAAGTCAAATTTATTCTGGTCTTCTTCAGATAAGCAGATTTAGATTAATCCAACATTTTTCAGTCAGTTCATCTGGACAGTTTCTTTTTTTTTTTTTTTTTGTGCTGAAACGTTTCGTCTTCGGTCCGGAAGGCGAAACGACCTGACTGAAAAATGTTGGATTTTATACCTGGATTATTGAGCATGGACTTTGTAGATTTAGGTTAAGTTTTACTTTTCATTTTGATTCTGTTTTACATTAATATTCATCTGTTGATGTTTTAATAAAGGGTTATGGTTTTATATTAAATTACCATGTTTAAAAGCAAGGGGGGA